CTATTATTTCTGAAAGAGACAAATGGACAAAAGAAAGGCACACGATATATGAGTTAAATATCATCTTTATCTTTAGCACATAAAACATTCACGTGAGACTATGATTCATAAATTCATACAACTTAATAAATAAGTAAAACTAATAACCAGTAACAAGAGATGAAAAAACATAATAATAACTCAATAAAATAAAATACGAGAACAAAAGTAAGAGAATAAATTAGCTAAGTAAATAATAGTATTAGAATGTGTTAGGATGATATTGAATCGATTACAACCTCCTATAATGACTTACAACACCTCACAAAATTAATTCTAAGTTGTTGGAATCAATCTCATATATGTTGGAATTGGTTGCAGTTAGAATCCATTATCATTATTATAAAAATTAATATATTATTATTATTCAATAATAATAACAATAAAAGTTATTATTATTAATATTATTATTTATTAATATTAATGATTATAAGTATTAAATGCAAAGGTATTGTTTGACGATATTATAATTAAATTATTATTTGTATAAAAGTATAATTAAATTACTAAATTAACTAAACTTATACCAGAATACTATAAATTATTATATACTTTTACATAAACCTAAACTCACAAGTTAAATAACTAAATTAATTATCTTTACTTAACTCGTGCATGAATTTTAAAGCTCTTTTCCTATCTATGCCTATTGTCTGCAATGCATTTTATTCAATTGATTCAATCTCCTTAAATTGATTAGAACCAAAATCATGAATATAAATGTCATGGTAGTCCAACAACCAAGGATAATTACATTTTTCCTTAATGTGTCCATAAGAGGAGTTTCCATAGTCATTGACACTTCACCACCATAACCACTAAGTCTACATAATCATGTATAGTCGAGCTCAACAACGCTTTTGTTGAGCTTAATAAACGTTGGTCGAGCTCAGACAATCACATTTTCCACAACGTGTCCATAAAAGGAGTTTCCATAACCATTGCCATTTCACCACCACAACCGCCAAGTCTCTATAACCATGTCTAGTCGAGTTTTATAGTGTCTTTTTCGAGCTTATTAACGTCTTTGTCGAGCTCGAAAAACTTTGGTCGAGCTCAACAAAACAATCAAAAAATGTGATGAACGACTTTTTGTTGTTTTTGTTTACTTTTTTTCCCTTGTATCAACACTTGAACTTTAATATAACACTGTTAAAATATGAAACACACAAGCAAAATGCTATAATCAGTTACACGCATAGCCTATCTAATTCCAAGCATGTTGGAATCGATTTTAACTCTTTCTTCGTATCCATGGAATCGATTACAACCTCAATGAAATCAATTTCAACTCCTTTATATTAACCATGAGATTAATTTCAGCTTGTTTAGGAATCAATTCCCTTTTATATAATGCTCCTCCTTCTTTGATCTCTAACGAAAACTTAAAGTTATGACTTCATGAAGATGTAATCTCACCACATATAATCCAGTTGATGGTTGTTAAATGATACATTCATAAACCAGACACGTGAATACGATGTCATACATAACGAGGGTATAATTATGTTTTCACCTATATGACTACAAACTCTCCTCAGTTGAAGAGAAATATGAAAAATTCTTGTATCCTGCTAATCCTCGCTAATCCTCTCCTTCTCTCACTCTCAAATCCACCAAAATGAACATTCATTCATCCCTTGTCTTTAAGTACAATGTCTCACTCCAAACAAACACAACCTCAAGGATTGTGACATATTGTCAATTCCTCATCCTTAACTTTGTTATGGTGTGTTATAATCATGTTTGAACATGTAGTTTATCTTAAAAAATATTTAATTTTCATAATGATCTTTGTTTATATTTTAAAAAATTATACTTTTTTATGTTTACAAAAATTTATGAGCTAGTCCTAATTAATCCATACTCACAAAATTTTTATGAACTTTTTTTTATCTTCTCTTTCTATATTAGGACAGACTAGGTTATTATGTTTAGTGTTGCTCCACTTATTTAATTAATTATGATAAACATAAATTTGAAGTATTTGAGCAAAATTAATGATATCAAAATTATAGTAATTTTTTTCACAATTTTAAATAATAAATGAATTAAAACTCGTATTTCATTGTGAATGAAATAACTCATCACTAATGCAATTAATATTATTATTAAAAATCTAAAATAAAATCAAATAATAAATTTATTTTACAAGTATCATAACTGATAAAATAAACCATATAAACTAATAAAATAAACTAGAAGAAAAAAAAACTAAAAAACATTAACTTTGTTTCGAGTACGAGGTCGAGTCACTTCAAACACCTACACAATTTCTCTTGGGATGTTGTTTGGTAGCTAACTCAAGTCATCGTCTTCACTCTACCGTTCGGAGGGGTACCTACCAAAGGTTTTTAATGCTAAAAGCATTAAACTATCCGTAGGAGAGTTTAGTCTAATGGTAGTAAATGTAAATGCGATCACACACCTCTTACCTTTGACCTATATTTATAGTTTTTTGACATGAACTTGAGATTAGAAAAACCTTAATCCTGCCCCAGTCTCAATTCAATACTTCCACCATTTATCTTAATCATCGTAGATAAACATGTTTATCGGCTAAGGACGAACGCCCCTGTATTTGGCTGTTCGGTCTTGTCTATCAATTCTATTTCATTCGCTCACTAAGTTGCTTCCTCTACTCTGAAGCCGTCCGACTTGATTGATGTGAGATGTATATATGACTATTCGGGTCATACGGTACAAACTGCATCTTCAAATATCAATTAATAAATTAGTCTTACTTGTTGATATAGTATGTGAATATTTATCTTATTAACATATTTATGAGGTGATACACACTAGGTCTTGTCTTCTAGACATACATACAATAAAGATGTTACACTTTTACAATTGTTTCACCAACTTTTTTACCTACTTAAACATGTTCAATATCCATGACTTAACATGAATAATATTTGGTTATTTTTTTACGGTCTAAGACAAATATAATGTGTTTCACATTTATGTTATAGAAAAGTTAATAAATAATAACTATTTAGAAACAAAAAAATAATTAATCTTTATACTAACTAATTTAAACGTTATTTTAGGCACAAAAAGTTATCGATATTTAAAACAATCTCCATTATTGACAACAACTTATAATTAAATTATAAATTAGAACTTAAATTAATCTTTATGATTTTTTATCAATATTTTAACTACTTAAACTATTAGTTTCTAAATTGTTTTCTAAACTCCAAAAGTGAATCTCAATAACTAAAAATATCAATCAAAATCTATAACTTTTTTTGTAAACATACTTCAGTGCTCACTGTACCATAGAAATGATCATTCATCTCATATGAATAGAAAATTTAAGAATGTAGAAAATGCTGAAATATTTTGAAAATATCTGTTTATTTATTTTTGTTAGACTTTTATATCATTTACATATTAGCAAGTAGTCTATTGTGTGGAATAACATTATGTGTTAAGTCAAGTTGAAAATAAAAAGAAGAGCTCATTCCATTATGCAGCCCAATAATTTTCATGTACACCTTCATAGGGTGAGTAGAAGATTAATTTTTTTTCCAGCTTGCTGTTGTGTCATCTATGTCTATACTTTGTATTAGGAATGAATTTAAGAAAAAAATATTAAAGATTATCGAACTTGAATATTGCTCATGATTTTCGCTAATCTGAAAGTTATTTTATTTGTTTTTTAAATCTTACAAGTAATCTAAATCTATACTATATAATTTTAAAGTAAAAATTAATTGTTTTAGGTTAAATGTTTACTTCAATCTATTTTTACTATTTTTTTTGCTGTTAGTGTTCTTGAGTCGATGAAATATAATGCTAATGCATTACAAAGATACAAGTCAATTTGGTATTTTGTTTAATAATTAATATAATAATAAATTTGTTGCAAAAATTTAACAACCACACATTTGATATATATTTATAGGTTTCTTATAAATTTTTGTTTAAGATTGAACTAATCAAGCTTTAATTTTATTAAAATAGATTATAAACATGTTTAGTTTAATTATATTATTAGTTGAATGTGATAGACGCCAATAGGTTTTCTTCCATGTTGAACTTGTGATAGTTCGATCCGTGTATGTGTCATACAATAACTTTTAAACTGTATGATTTATAATTTTTTTATATAAAGAAATATTATTCAAATTACACCTATTACACTGCATGTGCGCAAAGTTTTCAAACAATATAATTTGAAAGTAAAAAGATTTTTCAGTTTGGATAATCTAACAATAAAATATGTCTTATAAATTTTGTATATACTTTTATACTAAATTATAATTTTCCAATTATATAATATACAAGTAAGTTTTTAAAGATAAATAGTAATTTTATATTTATTTGTTTTGGTGCGCACATTTTGTTTTTATTTTATTTCTATCATTTAATATATAACCGTTTTTTAAAATTATAATAGTTAACTTACTAATTTTATCCTTTAGTTACTTTTTGTTTTTCAATTTAATCATTTTATTTTTAAAATTTAACTATATTCTAAATTAAATTAATTATTTAGAACGGTAAAAATACCTATAAAATAAATTAAAACTATTCTATCTAATTATAATCATTTATGTAATTACAATTTTATCATTTTGTATTATTATAAAAAAATAACATGCATATATTTTTCTACAAGTATACTAAAATAGTAAATTAGTAAAAAAGTAAAATAAAAGAAGGTTTTTTAGAGTTTGGGCTCACTAAAAAAGGGCTTCGGAGCGCAACAAATGGGAAGCACCCAGGTCATTCCTTTTGAGTAACCCATGTAATGTATGTGTTGTTACTGAGCAGTGACGCCACGAATGTCAGTTTTGACAAAACTAGGCCCATTACATCATAGTATGTTAGCACGGACGGTTCAGATCGTAGCATTATCCATCACGTACGGCATCAGATCTAACAGAACCATCACGCGCCATGGAGCCGCCAACTCCCACTTCTCCGCTATATAACTGCAGCACCTCACGTTTTTATTGCCCTACTTCGCAATTTCAATTCGTGTTACTTGATTAACCACCAAAAACAGCCACCACAGGTTTTAATTTCGTCTTCGAAGAAGGAAAGACGCAATCTTTTCTCGGCGACGAAGTTGTTTCTCTTCTTTGAGGTACTTCGAGCGTTCCCTTCACTCTCGGTTAGGGTTTTGTGTTTGAAACCCTAGGGATTTTAGTGATTGAAAATACCTGTTGATATATTGTCCTGGTTATCTGTCTTTGAAACCAAATTTTGTGTTGTGCTGACGCCTGCATTGGATTATCTGGTGTTGGTGATCTTACATTTCGAATTATTGTTACTATGATTTTGAATTACGGTTTCGCGTTCAACGCCCTCGCTAATTGTTTCGAATTATTGTTACCATGTTTTTTATTCAAGTATGGCAGATAGTGAATCCGTTGCTACCGAAGCATCCGCTCATTCCGCTGCTGAGGCATATGCTTCGGCTGGTTATGCCGAGTCTGGGTCAAATCCTACTCTCGAGGCAGGTGCTACTGCTGATCAACCGGCTGGAGAAGGAGCTCAGTCCACTTCAACGTATGGATTTGGTTATTCTAATACTGGTGATGTGAATGCGTATACTGGGGATCCGAATTCTGTTCTACAGCAATCCCAATTCAATGCTACTGGTGATACCAAGCCAGCTGGTGGAGTGCCAGATGCTAACGAAGCCTCTGCTGGGGTTGGAAGCACTGCTGCTGAGCCTGCTCTGGCTTCTAACTACAGTTCATCTGTCAACGGTGGTGTAGTCGGTTCAGTGACGAACGGACTTGAAAACGGAAATGCATTGGAAAACATTGACGGGTCGGTTGATGAAAAACAACTCGCAGATGGCTACGGTGTGTATTTTTTTTTTCATGTTATGAATATATTTTATGAATTTTGTTGTTCTGTCTTTACTTTATTTTTGTGCAAAAGGTTGAGTCCTAAATGTCAAGCTTAGGGGCAGAACTATTTGGTGTATAATCATGAGGAAGACATAAAAGGTCTTAATGGTTTAGTAACTGGCAAATATCTAATAGATCTTGCTGCAAGTTCTTACGATTTACCACGTGAATTAGCAAATCCATGTTGATAGTCAGTGACTTTTTATAACAGTTTTTATATGGAAAAAGGAAGAGTTTTACTCATCACATGCACTGGAAGTGGAGTTGAAGCCTGGAAACAAGTGGTCTCTAATTTACCCGTTTCTATCAACATGATAGTTTGTACCTAGCATACAGGTCTGAGAGAGTAGATGTAGAGTATTTTTTGACGCAAGTCTAACTTTCTTTGTACAGTCAGATAACCACATCTGTTTGAATAAAAAATATGCAGAAGCAATAATGTGATGGTTCTGGTATACGTGATTGAGATATGATGTGAAAGAAAACGAAATACGTTAGGGTGATGCTGTTTGGATATTTATGTTCGCTTTAATTTCAACTTGCTTGATATTTAGTCTAGGTTAAACTTATAATTTGACATGGTTCAATTCAAAATCATTGATAATATTTGTAAAACTTATTTTTTGTACAAATATAACGGTGCACTTAAAAATTGTAGGACTGAAACTAGTGTAATTTTCTGTGGGAGGCTGTCTTTTATATTACTAATCCAATGCTTATTGTATGTGAGGCTTTCAATAGTTTTGTTTTTGTAATGCTTTTGCTCATTTATGAACATGGTGCTATTCATTCAATTTTTTCTTACCATTAGGAGCTGCCTTGTCTGCTGAGGAAGATCGACTGTGGAATATTGTAAGAGCTAATTCTTTAGATTTCAGTGCCTGGACTTCCTTGATTGAAGAGACAGAGAAGGTAGCCGAGGTATGTTTGTTGACTTAAATTATGTTTTTGGGATGCACTACTATTTTCGTATTTCAGATGCACAAGTTGGGTGGTTGAATAATTTTTTGTATCTAGTGTCTCCGGTTATCGTGTGAGTGTTTTTGGATGTTTATGGCAGAAGAGTTGGCTGCCAAATATACTTGTGAAATATCTGTTTTTATATTTCTTAGAGATTTGCTTTATTCATCACTGTATAACATGTAATACAAACCAGTATTCTAACTAGGTTGGCTTTGAATAAATAACTGATTCATTTTGCTTTCAGATTTGTTAAATATATGATATATGATATACAATATAATATGCGTTTTGTAATGCTATATTTTTGAATTTGTATTTCTGTTGCCTTTGTATTCATAGTTAGAAGTGTCTATATATACAATACTTTTTGTGGGCGGATTCTCTTGTTTTTATTGCAGTAACAGTCAAACAAGTATTTGCAACTTATTAATTTCGTTTGTAATTTTTATTTATGTTACCAAGTAACATCCTCCTCCCCTTTTTCTCTATTTTGTGGATGTTTAATATCCTTAAAATTGTTTGTTCAGTTGTGGAGTTAATGCAATATATTTGATTACTACTGTGTGGGCCTTACTTTTTGATGCTTGTGAAGCTCATTAATGATTTCTCTGTTGAAGGACAATATTCTGAAGATTCGAAGAGTTTATGATTCCTTTCTAGCAGAATTTCCCTTGTGCTACGGTTATTGGAAGAAATATGCTGACCATGAGGCACGACTTGGCTCTATAGATAAAGTTGTTGAGGTGTATGAGCGTGCTGTTCAAGGGGTTACATATTCAGTGGACATTTGGTTGCATTATTGCATATTTGCTATAAGCACGTATGGGGATCCCGACACTGTTCGTAGGTAATGGAAGTTTAGTTGTTTGTCATCCTTTGTCTTTTTATTTTTTATTTTTGCATTGGGAGATTTTGATTTGGTTTTCCATTCACTAGGCTCAGCTGTTTCATGCCTGCTTTCTAACCTAATTTCAGAATGCGTGCAACAGTGATATCTCCCTTTATGGCGGAAAAGCTTTGATGGATTTCATGCCAGAATGTTTTCCATTCTGATGTTTAAATCCTTGGTTTTGAGTCCACTATTTGTGGTAGTTTGAAAATTTTAGGGTCATTTTCTCCAATATACTTTTTTCCATTTCATTTCAAAGTCCATAGTTCTCTAGTTTTTTTTTGGAATGGTAGCTCTCTTTATCTTTGACACTCTGAGGTGCATCAATTTGCAAATTGCTGCCGAGAAGATCACATCTGGTTAAGGGCTAAGATGGCCTCTATGACTGCTCCATTTCTCAGACATAGTATGATTTATTGCAGGAAGGTAAATGCAGCGTTTGGATGTCTTACATGATGTTACGAGTGATTTGTTTGTTCTCCTTGAACATTAGTGCTGCTGTCTCCCATACATGGATGTGCATCAGTAAATGGATATTTTCAAAAGTGAAATATTAACCAGAACTGTTCACATGTTTCAGGCTTTTCGAACGAGGATTGGCTTATGTTGGAACAGATTATCTTTCTTTTCCCCTCTGGGATAAATACATTGAATATGAGTACATGCAGCAGGACTGGGCTCGCCTTGCCATAATTTACACCAGAATATTAGAGAATCCAAATCAACAATTAGATCGGTATTTCAGCAGGTGATTATGTGTTTTAAATTCATTTCTCCTCTATTATCAGTAGAAAATTGTTCTTGTTTATGTGCTCTGTTTTTGGGGGTTGATTTTAAACCCTTGGTGGTCACGGTGTTGCAGCTTCAAGGAGTTAGCTGGAAACCGACCTTTGTCAGAGTTACGAACTGCTGAAGAAGCTGCTGTAAGTGTTGCTTCAGAGGCTACTGCTGGACAAGGTGCTGAGGGAGAGGTTCATCCTGATGGTGCAGAGAAGTCTCCTAAATCTGTAAGTGCTGGCTTAACAGAAGCAGAAGAGTTGGAGAAGTATATCGCCATAAGAGAAGAGATCTATAAAAAAGCTAAAGAGTTCGATTCTAAGATCATTGGTTTTGAAACAGCCATCCGAAGGCCCTATTTTCACGTCCGGCCTCTCAATGTTGGAGAGCTCGAAAATTGGCACAACTATCTGGACTTTTTAGAAAGGGAAGGTGACTTAAGCAAGGTACAAATGGTTTCCTTTAAGATTGCATTGTGTTACTGATTTTTATTGTTATAGATTGACTTACAGTAAGTAATATCTGTTGCATTATATGTTTTATTGGCTAATCCGTTGGATGAAGCAACTTTTTAATCGGGAAATTGAACTGAGACTAAAGCATGGGCCTTCAATTTGGTTTCTTGAGGCTAAGTACTTCAAACCCTATTTTGTCGGAGGACATTCTAGGTTCGTCATGCATTTGTAAAAATTCACTCTTTTTAAAGTGCGAATGTTATGCATGCAGGTGTCTTGTTATCTTCCTAATCATCTGTCACAGGCAAGGAGGGTCCCTCATTTCATATTTGAGGGGCCTCTCTGTCCCGCTAAGGAGTATTTCTTGATGCTTTGTATTTTCCTTTTATGTTTATATTGTTGGTTTTTCTTGTGTATTTATTATCATTGATAACAATTTTTACAACAATCTGATTTTTTGTGTGATTTAGATTGTCAAGTTGTATGAGAGGTGTGTCATTGCATGTGCCAATTATCCTGAGTATTGGATACGCTATGTTTTGTGTATGGAAGCCAGTGGAAACATGGATCTTGCAAATAATGTTCTTGCCCGAGCCACCCAAGTCTTTGTTAAGGTAATTTCATCTAAATATAATTCATAGAGATGCATTTATTTTTGAGTTCATATAAAGTTTTTAAACTTTGGATGAAGTGAGCAAGCGATTTATCTACTTGAACTTGTGTGATGATATGCTCAAAGTCAAACCTGCCTCATTAGGGGAATAGTAGTTGATTATAGTTAATGTTTCAGAATAAGAGCTTTCAGCTTTCTCAATATTTATTGTCCATTTAGAACGTTGATGACTTTGTGACTTCTGGGACTTGTCACTTCTAATCATGTGAAAAAATGATAACATTTCCTTAAGTATGTTTTGACTAGAAATATAGAAGGGGTATTGTAATGCTGTATTGTTTGGTTTTTTTCATCTATATTTTACCGTTTTGCGTGTGAGAGTGATTTCTTTGAAGATACATTGCACCAAGTTGTGGATATATAAAAGTTTAATTCTTTTCTCTTGACATATGGCCCGTCTGAGGTGAGAGAATCTTTTATATGTTGATTTGTCGAAACTCAATTATATAGAAGGCCTAGTAATGGTGGTAGCAATAATTTAGTTTCAGACATTTGCTTTTAGAGGCATTGATACTACGTTGAAAATCACGTTTCCTAAAATTTGAACTTCTAAGGTAATAAGTGGATGGCCCAATAGTGTTTTTGTATATCTGTCATTATTTTGGCCTGTCAGTGTGTCATACATGTGCATTCCATTTGTTGGTCCCTTTTCTTGATTTAGACAATGTAGTGTTCAGTAGTGCCCGAGAAGAGTTAACATTAATTTTTCAGTTTAGTCATTTTGTTTGTTTATTATAATGCAGAGACAACCGGAGATACATCTTTTTTCTGCGCGGTTTAAGGAGCAGAATGGAGATATAGAGGGTGCTAGAGCTGCCTATCAGCTTGTGCATACTGAAACTTCCCCTGGTCTTCTTGAAGCAATAATCAGGCATGCCAATATGGAACGCCGATTGGTATACTGGCTTGAGAAACTCTTTCTAGATTTGACTTAATTCTAGGCTGATTTGTTTACATATTTTCTATACATTGATATTACAGGGAAAAATGGAGGATGCCTTCTCCTTGTATGAACAGGCCATAGCTATTGAGAAAGGAAAAGAACATTCACAAACATTGCCGATGTTGTTTGCTCAGTATTCTCGATTTGTTTATTTGGTATGTCCTTAACATTTTTTTATGCAAATACTCTTCTGTGTCTTTGTTCCTATCTAAAGCTGGCTATTGTTTTTAAATGCATTCCTTTTTCTTTTCAGAAGAAAAGTATTCAGCTCCCTTAAACTTTTGATGTGTTTGCTAGTGAACAAGTTAAACTTGTCTTAATTGTTCCTTAAACTTGCGTTTCTTTGCAATTAAATACTTGAAACTTTATATCTTTTTGGTTCATAGCCCAAATTTCAATTTTATCTCATTCCTTGAAGTTTCATCTTTTGTGAATAGTCTTTGATATTAAATTCAAATTAGTTTAAATAATTTATTGGTTTTATTTGTATGAATAAGTTTTTCAAACTTTAATATAATAGAATTTATAATTTAAAACTGAATAAAGGCTTTTTGATTATTTGTTATTTTAAATTTGTATTTTTACTATATATCAAAAATATATATATATATATATATATATATATATATATATATATATATATATATATATATATATATATATATATATATATATATATATATATATATATATATATATATATATATATATATATATATATATATATATATATATATATATATATATATATATATACATACATACATACATATATATATACATATATATATATATATATATATATATATATATATATAATCATGTGACAAATGGAATAAAAAGTCCATGAATAATTGAAAAATAGCTTAAATAATTTAAATCTAATGTGATCTAAAGAACTATTTGTACAAGTTAAAGTTTGAGGTATTATTTTTAAAAAACGGTAAAGTTTAAAGTATTGATTAGGGTTAAAAGAAGTTGACGGTTTGCATTGCAAATAATATAAAGATCACGGATAACTAGTATAAAGATTAAGGATCACTAGGATAAAATTGAAGTTTAGGATCTCTATTTGTAAGGGGTTGAATGCCTTTTTCCTTGTTTTAAGCTTGCCTATTGGTTTTAGAATGCCAACTACTGGTAGTTTGATTAATTTAAACCACAGCTAATTTATTTTAGCATGTCTTCATTCTGTTAAATTATACTAGCTGTTATGCCTGTATACTTCTCTTGTATGGCAATAAATAAAGCATCCAAATTATTTTAGGAAGAGAATTACTAATTCAAGTTTTTGCAACTATTCTTTTAATACTTCTCATTTTTTCATTAGGCTTCTGGGAATGCAGAGAAGGCAAGACAGATTTTAGTTGAGGGGCTGGAGAATGTTTTGTTGTCAAAACCAGTTCTCGAGGTCTGTCTTAACTTTATTTATGTTCACTTTGATTACGTACTTAGAGATTCTTCTCTTTATTTTTGTAATGATGTTTCTCATATCTAATGAGATTCTTAATTCAATAACATGCAGGCCTTATTGCATTTTGAGGCTATTCAACCCTTTCAAAAGCGAGTTGATATCGACTTTCTGGAGTCATGGGTTTGCAAATTCATAATGCCTAACTCAGAGAGTCCTAGTGTAGCTAGTGCAATTGAGCGTGAGGAACTTTCTAGTATTTTTCTGGAGGTAAGTCCTTTTATCAAGGATGTTCTAGAATGTGTTTTATGAGTTTCCTTGAGTAATTAAATATTGCTTTAGGATATTTTTTTTTTTACTTTTTCTGGTGTATGTTTATTAGTTATTATTCCATCTACAATAAGTGGTTTTTCTGGGAAATTGGGTTGTCTAAGTTTCCAGTGGGTCAATTGATCCTTGTAACTGACTGCCAGTGATGACATCCACTTTGAAACGTGAAATGCAATCGATGCTACTTTAGTAAAGAAATATATAATGGATGGTTTAATCCATAGTCTATTGATAATTGTTAACCTTGAGGTTGTGACAGGAAAGTGTAGGTGCTTACTTCTGTGTCTAGTGTGTAAGTGTGTGTTTGTCTTTTCCAGTAATGAGATTGAGAAAAGATAATGGTAATCTATCAAACATTGGTTTAATTTATTGATTTTGGCAGCCCTTGATCAGAAGTTTAGTTCTTTTAACACTAACACAACTGTCATTTGCAGTACTAGTCTTATTATTGGATAACTGGTATGGCTAGCTGTTACTAGGGGCACGGCCTAGTTTTAATAAAATTATTGTTTTTGAAAATTTTAAGTTACCATGGATCATTTATGTATTGTGGGCTATGATGTGTGCCAGGAAATCAGAATTTCATTCAAGTCTTTGAATGATAATGATTTGAATGGAAACTGGAAAATCATGACCAAAATAGAAGGTTGAACATGTTCACAGTATAAATATAGGAGTGAGTGGAGGGAATTTAGCAGAGGGGCATCTTGATATGTTTCTCTGCCTTAAATTTTTAACTTGTCTTTCTGAACGGTTTTGAAATGGTAATTGCCTTGAATTTAACTTGTGCCTCTTTGAATGGTTTTGAAATGGTAGTTTATTTTGTAACAGTGCTTCACAAATACCATTGGCAGTATAATATATCTTTGTTCTATTCCGGTCTCTTTATAATTATTTTAATTGAACACATTTTTTAGATATTGTACATCTATTTGATGGTCTTTTGCTATTGTTTTCAAAGAACTATTATATCTTATTTTTTTTAAAAGTATGTGTCTGTTTTCGAAGGCCTTATCTTTCTATACTTGTTGAATTATAATTTGAATATTATTAATTTTTGTGAATTGTTTATTTTCCAGTTTTTGAATCTCTTTGGAGATGTTCAATCAATCAAGAGAGCAGAGGATATGCATGCCAAATTGTTTTTGCCACACAGAAGCATGTCAGAGTTGAAGAAACGTCATGCTGAGGATTTCTTAGCTTCAGACAAAGTTAAAGCGTCAAGAACTTATTCTGCTCAATCACCTGCCCAATCCGTGATTGGTGCGTATCCAAATGCACAAAACCAATGGACTAATTATGGAGTACAACCTCAAACTTGGCCTCCGGTTACACAAGCACAGGGGCAACAGTGGACTGCTGGCTACACCCAGCAGGTATGGTATCCTTTCTTATTTGCTGGCATATTGTGTATGTGGGGTTTATACGTGTGAATCTCTAATCCTGGATATTGTTTTGGCTGTTTAGACTGTCAAATCTGTCAAGCAATATAGTGTTCACTATTTTTGTGTGCTATACTTGTTAATCAGATATGATCCTGATTGTGTTTAGAAACGAATGTGGACATGTAAGACGTGACAAACGCACTCCACTAAGCTTCAGCATTATTTAAGTAGAAGTTTTGCTTATTAAATTCTTGCAATTTAACTCCATGATTGCTTCAAGCATCTTTATCAAAGCTAGCACCATTGAGCTTGTGTTTTCACAATTTTCTTATTATACTATCTCATTTTATCGAGTTAAAATTAATATTTATACTAATTTTAATTTTATCATTTTATTTAATTAAAAAATATCTGTTATTATTTTCTATATTGATGTGTAATTTATAATTTGAATGAAAACAATGTTGGAAAGACAATACAGATTCATATTTTGCATAAAAGAAGAGAATAATAGTTTTAGGGTTTGAAATATTGAAAATTAAAATATATTTTAGGATGAAATAAGAAAATGATGTGTACTCAAAAGTGGTATTCCCACTGTATGCTGTTATAGATTATAACTTGTAGATTATAGATGAACATCGTATCATGAATGCGCATAGTTTTGGTGTGTACTAAAATGATTAGTATTTCTATGACGGAGCTAAGATGTTTTACTCGTGTTCTGTGTCATTCTGTGTTTGTACACCTATATTCATAAAATAAGCACCTGAATTAGGTGTAATTTTAATTCGTTGTTTAATTGAAACGGTTATATTATTTTGTTATCAAACTGTTGTCATTCTCCGCCAATTGTTTTAGCAAGTTGATAGAGTGATATATGTTCTATACTGATTCATTCTGATTTGGTGCAGGCTTCTTATGGGGCTTATGCTGGATATGGCGGCAATTATGCAAATTCTCAATTGCCCGCATCAGTTCCACCGAGTACTGCATACGGGGCCTATCCTCCTTCTTATCCTGCACAGGTACAAAGCAGTATTTATTTATTTAGTTGATTATTTGGCCCCTAACATGTATTTGGATTAGTGGATACCATGGAACTTTTATTGTGATTTCTTTTTCTAAGGGAAAGTGATCGAATAAAACTAACCATGCTAATGTTGTTTGTTGTTTATATATTTCGATAGATAGATAGCTTCTGGTAAACATAATCATGATTAGTTTTATTAAGGTTGATTCTTTTGTATGAATTTGAATTTCAGCCGGCGGTTCCTCAACAGCCCTATGCGCAACCTGTTGCAGCCCCTGCACAGCAACCTGCTGCAGTTCCTCAAGCCTATTACGGTAGTTATTACTGAGTTCACAAAATGAGATGACAACTGTTTTCGCCTCCTGTATTTTTTTTCCTTTATTTTATAGGGTAATTTGATATTAGGTATGGAGTACAGTTGTAGTTATACTGCTGAAAATAGAAAATTGTTTGACTAATTTGCTATTGTTTTTTTAGTTATTTCTGTGTACATTCTATTGGTAATTATTTTCTTTTCACCGGTATACTTTTTTTTAATGCGGATTAAGTAACATTTAAGGCTGCTGGCAAATTTGGTCACTTAAATTCAGTTAAGTTCGTCTTTAAAATTTTATACAATTTTACTTAGTCTATGTTTCCCCCTTTTAAACGAATCTGTGCATAAAGTAGGTTTTCGTCAAGTTATGTAATTTTGGGTTTTCATTATGAATTTAAACAATTAATTTTAGAGTTGAAAGCAGGGTAAATTATAGAATTTTTTTTAGAAGACAACCGTTTAAAGGGAATCAAAGCTGTCGGGAAGAAAGAAGGACTTGAAACAACATATTAATATAAAGAATTGTAATTAAATAAACAAGCAATTTAATAAAAAACTAATTATTTTGTTATTTTGATTGAATAATTTATAATCTATCATATTTTTTTCAATCGTTTTTCCATTGTCAATTTCCTTTTTAAATTTCTTCTACTTTTTCGTTTAACATAAATTTGTCTTTCTTTTAACATTTAACATAAATTTAATAGGTTGGGTTTATCAACTTAATGACAAAGACAAATGGTACGAAGGCAAATGATGGAGGACAAATGCAAGAATTTTAGGATTAATATGAAGAAGAATATGCGTCACATTAATGTTTAGATTTATTTGTTTAATGTGAGGGTTAATAAGATGTGATGAAAATGAACCAAGACGAATAGAAAGACCGTAGACGAAATAGAGGAAGATGTATAAGAGTTCTAGCTTTGTCTAAAGTTATGCATAAGTGAGTGGAGATAAATATCATTCGTATTAAAGTGGATTAGTTTAATCATGAATCAAACCCAGCATAATGTAATTCATATGACAACAAATTTATCATTTATTTCTGATAACAACACATTCCTTAAGTGAACTTTTTCCTAGAATTTCTTACAACTAGAATCAAACATTTTTATTTGAGCAATTGTTTGTCACTTAATTATCTCATTACTTTAGGCTTTGTTCATTTGAATGTATTTCAGGATTTGTTCATTTGAATGTATTTCAGGAGAGTTATTGAATGAATTTGAAAGTAAATTTTTTGTTGTTTATTTGAGTGGATTTGGAGATAAGTAAAAGTGGATTTAGAAGTAAAATTTGTGAAAATTAGTGTAGGATTGATGTCACAAATTAAAAAATTTTATTTCTAAATCTACTCTCACTTATCTTCAAATTTACTCAAATAAACAACAAAAAATTTATCTTCAAATTCTCTTAAATCCATTTAATCACTCTCTCTCTCAAATCTATTGAAGTGAACAAAGTATTAATGTCATAATTGGTATATTTAAATTGTATATTGTGTTAGTAATTTATAAAAATAACCTTTCACACTTCAATTTAAAAGGAATCCGACAGAATTTTACTAGAAAAAAAATATTTCAACTAAGTAAAATAAAAATTTAGGTTCTAACCTGAGATAAAGTAATAATTTTTTGGTGCCAGAATTTTCATAAATAAAAATAATTTATTTGCAACATTTACTTTCCTATATATTCGAAATCAGAACCTATTTCCTACAGTTACTTTGCCTACGTATTTGAATTAAAAAAAATTAGAACAACATTTTTGTGCAAGTATGAAAATAAGCATAATTATTTATTTATGGAGAGATAGTATAGTAAAAAGAAAACAATTTATTTCACATAAAAGAGATGCGTAATTATTCACTCCTACAAGATATACGTGTTCATATATAACAACTAATATCTTATTCAGGAAAATAATCAAGTGCTTTTTCGTAGAAAAATACAGTGAAATATATGAATTATTATTTAGGTTTTGTTCACTAAATTTGGCGGAGAGTGATTGAATAAATTTAAGAGAATTTGAAGGTAAATTTTTTGTTGTTTATTTGAGTCGATTTTGGAAGTAAGTAAGAGTGGATTTGGAAGTAATGTTTGTGAGAATTAGTGTAGAATTTGATTGATGTGACAAATTAAAAAAATTTACTTCCAAATCCACTCTCACTTACCTCCAAAATTGACTCAAATAAATAACAAAAAATTTAGATTTAAATTCATTCAATCAGTCTCCCCAACAAGTGAACGATTAGAGACATTTTAACCGTTTGCGAAATTTTTGAAATACATTTAAACTGTCCCTTAAAAAAAAAGATAGAGAATAAAGACTACACAATCTATCAAACACTATTTGTAATATTGCATGAATCATGAATTAAATATAGTCATAATACGGAAGAGAAACTTATATAAAGATATTTTTTTTACCTTTGCATTTTGTGTATATAATTTTTTAGATGAAATCATCAAACAATATCTATTATTTAGAAAAAAAGTTTTTAAATTAACACAATTCAAGGATCTATTTTTGCATCATTTACACTATTGATTGAATGCTAGTAGAAAAGTTGTGACTTCTTCAGTTCGAGTCTAAATTAAAGATATCGTATGCTTCCGTAGATTCTGTCTCCATCCCTACATAATCATAACATCAGCCCAATTACTATATCTAGTAGTGTGGCGTGTACCCTGAATCTTAGCCGTCCATCATAATTTTTTGAAATCAATCTGGGCCGTTTATTACAAAGGGGCTATGGGTTATCGGCGCACCCGTTTTATTGTGAGATTTAAATATTAGAAAATATAAAAGAATCACATCACATTCCACTCACACAGTTGCTCAGTCCTTCAGGCACACCTCTCTCATATTTTAACACTCTAAGCTGCGCAGCACCATTCTCAAGCTCCGATCTATAACTCCACACTTCCTTCGTTTCCACACTTTCTCTCTTAACCCCAATCGCCTTCTTTCTCTCTCCTCTCCTTGGGCCTCTTCCTTCGTTTTTAAAGCCCAACGCCGCATCATCTCTTTCTGGATTTAGGGTTTTTGCGCGCTCTCTTCTCCTCGATCTGCCGCAAGACACGGGAGAAGCTCTGCATGCTCTGAACTTCAACGCTCTTCCAGATGGCGTCGTCTTATCCTGGTTCCGTTAGTGCCACACAGGTATTCTCTTACGGCGCTTTTTTTTTTTATTTCCTTAATCTATGCTTTGATCCGCTTCAAGTCAGAGGCTGAGTAAGTGCTCTGATTCTTTGCTTTCAGGTTGGCTCCTACTTCGTCGGACAGTACTATCAGATTCTCCGCCAGCAGCCGAATCTTGTTCACCAGTTTTACTCTGATTCCAGCAGCATGATTCGTGTCGATGGAGATTCCGTTGAAACTGCGCAAGATGTGTTGGTATGCCTTGCTAGCGCATGCATTTTGTTTTTCAAATTTGTTGTTTATGAGAAGTGGTGCTCGAGATTTCTGAGGTGGCTGTTCTGTTTAGGTTATCAATGTTCTGCGGATTTTTTTTTTAGTTTGTGCTTGGTTGGAATATTGTGGAGGATTTTTTTTTGGTATGATAAAATTGTAGTACACTGTGGCTATAGCTAGAGAACACAGAATGGATGCTCGATTTTTTAGGTTTTGGTTTTTAGATGTATTGGCTGGTGCTAATGCCTACTGGCTGAGTAGGTTTGTGTTAATTCTATTAGTTTTGGTGCTCTCATTTGTTGCTTAATTGTCATTCTGCTTCTTTTGATTAGCAATTTTCGTTTTGATTGTTACTGCCTGTTTTTACAGTTTTTTCTCTTTTGTCTGTAAATGCTTTCTATTTTCATTATTTTTTTTAGTTTTAAATAATATGTATAGGAAACAGTGAAGACAGAAAATAAAACTAGAAGTTGATTCCTGTAAAAACTTTTAAAAACAGGAAATAAAGTGAAATCAAGCTGTCGAAAGTGAGAAAAATGTTCTCTCAAAGTAAATATACCTTTATTTTTCTTTCAGATACATGCCTGATAAATGCTTGTGTGGTTTTTTTCTACCTGTTAATAGCTGACCAGGTTAGGGTTCTCATGCAGCAAATTCATTCAATTGTTTCGTTACTGAGTTTCACTTCAATTGAGATCAAGACCATCAATTCTCTCGACTCTTGGGATGGAGGTGTGATTGTCATGGTCTCAGGTTCTGTGAAGCTAAAGGATATCACTGGGAGGCGGAAGTTCGTTCAAACCTTCTTTCTCGCTCCTCAAGAGAAGGGTTACTTTGTTCTGAATGATATTTTTCATTTTGTCGAAGAAGGTGTTACATACCCAAATATGATACCAGTGCCATCTGAAATTGACAATCAACCGCATGTGTCTGCATCTCTTGCAGAGCCACCAGGTAAATTAGCTGCAGAATTATGTTTTTAGGACAATTTTGCACTAGTTTTACTGAAACTTTGTGCTGCAGTTTGTTTAGTTGAGAGGAGATTCACAATCTGTGTAAAAGGTTTAGAAAAAAGAGTTTTTAATTAACAATAGTAGGTCTCCAAAAACACTTGCTGGTGTGACAGATTTTCTCAGTCCTTTATCTTGATCTCTCCAAACTAAATATAAATAGTATGTATATGTATTGCACACTTTTTTTTTATAGAAAAAAGTACCGTGTTTGATTGAATCCTGCGTTTGTGATTTAGTAGCTTCAGACTACGGTTTGGAGGAAGAAGCTAGGGAATATGTAAACTCAGTTCATATTGACGATGATCCAGTGGACAAGTATAGTCTTCCTGAGCACCAGCAGCAGCTACATGAAGATCTTGAAACCGAAATAGTTGTGGAGGAAACTTCTGCACAGGAGGCATCTCCACCAATTCACAATGTTGTGCATACTGTCCAAGAAACCCCTGCAGCTCTTGTAGAAGAGTCTTTTGAAGAGCCTCCTAAGAAAACTTACGCATCTATTGTATGTAATACTTTCAGTTTAATACCTTTTATTTTTGTGTAACTATGCACTGTCCATTAACAACGTATACACACTGTTGGAGTAACAAATCTTTACTTAAACCATCTTTTAAGTAGTCTTTTATGTTTCCATTATCAAGATTTCCTTAAATTGTTTGCAATCTAGAATGTGTTTTGTGAAACAGTGTACATTTTTTCCTTATTTGTCTGCTTTTGGTGTTTTGGC